AGCACTGGGTTTTGGGACTTTTATTCTTTTTTTTTTTTTTTTTAATTTATTTATTTAATTGAAAGAGTTACACAGAGAGAGGAGAGGCAGAGAAAAAGAGAGAGGTCTTCCATCCTCTGGTTCACTCCCCAAATGGCCGCAATGGCCGGAGCTGCGCTGATCCGAAGCCAGGAGCTAGGAGCTCCTTCCAGGTCTCCCACATGGGTGCAGGGACCCAAGGACTTAGGCCATCTTCTACTGCTTTCCCAGGCCATAGCAGAGAGCTGGATCGGAAGAGGAGCAGCCAGGACTAGAACCGGTGCCCATATGGGATGCAGGTGCTTCAGGCCAGGGCATTAACCCACTGTGCCACAGTGCCGGCCCAAGGGCCTTTTATTCTTAATTTTAAGTTCATATCCACCCATCAAAGAGTTTTCTGTTTTCCATTATTTCTGTGTAGATTACTCCCAGATTGCTATAACCAGCTTCTTGTTACATCTTCCATCTTAAATCTGAGTGACTGCAAGATGTTTTTATTTTGTGGAACATAGATACATCAGAATGTCCCATTTTGAGTGCTTAATCCTTGTTAGGATGTCTCTTGAGGATTTTAAAGAGAAAATAATCTGATGAAGTACATTCAAAGAGTGCTGTATTTTGTGCTAAGAATAGAAAACGCAAGTCGAACCTTAAAGAAGCTAATAGGAAATATGATCAGATAAGTATTAATATATTGCATGACAGTGTGTTGATGGGAACATGTTAAGTTTGCTTTCCTCCCTCGGAGCATTAGCAGGATCAAGTGAGACTGATACAGAGAAGCCCCTTTTCAGACACAGAACACTGAAAGGTTAGTTGCTGCTGTGCAGCCTTTTCTGGTGAAAGGAGCAGGCTTTGGTGTAGTCTGCTTCTAGGGCTCCCAGCTCATGTTCTACAAACCACTTTCAGATTTGACTTTTCTTCACTACTTTTAATAATGGTTGTATACTAACGTTTCTTCATCTGGTACATTTAATGTATATAGGGCAGTGAAAGTCATTTATGGGGTGAGGGCATTCACCTTATCTCCTCACGATTATAGTGGCATAGGTAAACTGACCGTCTAGGCTAAATACTATTTAGTCATTGTATATCCATGAATAATTGGTTTTTGTTTCATTTTGTAATAGATTTATTTATTTATTTATTTATTTGAAAGAGTTACAGAAAGAAAGAGAGAGATACAGATCCTCCATCCACTGGTTTACTCCCCATATGACCACAATGGTCAGGGCTGGGCCAGGCTGAACCCAGGAGCCAGGATCTTCATCTGGGTTTCCCAAGTGGGTGGCATGGGCCCAAACACTTGAGCCATCTTCTGCTGTTTTTCCCAGGTACATTACCAGGAAGCTGGATAGAATTGGGTTAGCCCAAACTTGAACCAATGCCCATTTGGGATGCTGGAGTTACAGGAGGTGGCTTTACCCACTATGCCACAACACTGGTGCCTGGACAATTGTAATATTGATAATATATGTACTCCTTCATTTGTCTTTAAAGATTTATTTATTTATTTGTAAGGCAGAGTTATAGAGAGAGGCAGAGAGACTCTTCTATCCACTGGTTCATGCCCCAAATGACAGCAATAGCCAGGGCTGGGCCGGGCCAAGCCAGAGCCTAGAGCCTGGAACTCCAACTAGGTGTCCCATTTGGGTGCAGGGGCCCAAAGACCTGGGCCATCTTCTGCTGCTTTCCCGTCTTCCCTGCTTTCCACTAGCAGGGAACTGGATGGAAGGTAGAGCAGCCAGGACTTGAATCAGTGCCCATATGGGATGCCATAACGCCAGCTCCTAGAATAATTTTTAAAACTCTTTTTTAATGTGAATTTGAATTATAAGTTCTATGTTAGATTACAGTGGAAATTGGCTGAAGTTTTATAACTCTATTATAATGTTGTATGAGAGGACTAGTGTTGTAGTACAGTGGGTTAAGCTGATGCTTACCAATACTGCCATTCCATATCAGTGTGAATTCAAGTCCCAGCTTCATGGCTTCTAATCCAGCCTTTTGCTAATGCACCTGGGAAGGCAGTGGAAGATGGCCCAAGTACCTGTGCCCCTGCCACCCATGTGGGGGTCCTAGATGGAGTTCCAGGCTCCTGGCTTCAGCCTGACCCAGACTTGACTTACAGTCATTTGGGGTTGGAAAATTCTCAGTCTGTCTCTCTATCTCTATCTCTATCTCTATCTCTATCTCTATCTCTATCTCTATCTCTTCCTGTCTCTCTGCTTTTCAAATAAATAAAGTGTAGTGTGTGTGTGTGTGTGTGTGTGTGTATGTATTATGGTGACATCTTGCTAGAATATCTTACACAGCACAGTCATGTGCTGCATCACATTTTGGCCAGTAGTGGACTACATATACAACAGGGTAAAAGTATATTGTCTATTAACTTTAGTAGGCGTCTTACTTTGTTAAAGCATACTCTGATGTTTGTATCATAACAAATTGCCTAATGATGCATTTCGTAGAGCATGCCTCCTGGTTAAGTGACACGAAACTGTAGTTGTGGATGTTCCAACATACACTCATTTGTAAAAATAGTAAATAATCGAGGCCGGCGCCGTGGCTCACTAGGCTAATCCTCTGCCTAGCGGCGCCGGCACACCAGGTTCTAGTCCCGGTCAGGGCGCCGGATTCTGTCCCAGTTACCCCTCTTCCAGGCCAGTTCTCTGCTGTGGCCAGGGAGTGCAGTGGAGGATGGCCCAAGTCCTTGGGCCCTGCACCCCAAGGGAGACCAGGATAAGTACCTGGCTCCTGCCATCGGATCAGCGCGGTGCGCCGGCTGCAGTGCGCCGGCCACGGCGGCCATTGGAGGGTGAACCAACGGCAAAGGAAGACCTTTCTCTCTGTCTCTCTCTCTCACTGTCCACTCTGCCTGTCAAAAAAAAAAAAAAAAAAAAAAAAAAAAAAAAAAACGATTGCTTAGATTTTGATTTGGTTTAGGCGCATGGATTGCATTTTTAACATGGCATTTCCAATCAGGTGGTTCAGCCATAAATAGTGATACACACACTTGCAAGAATTGGAATGCCACTGTTTAGATTTTGGAAAGCTCTGGAAACAGAACACTTTCCTCAGGTGTTTTATTTAGCTTGTGCTATCTTCAATGAAAGAGAGTTACTGGAATTCATAGAGATTAGAGTGTTAAGTTCAGAGTTGCTGACTTTGATTTAAATGCTAGGAAAATAACTTACAATGTAGCCAAATAACAGTTCCAAGAGATAGTCAAATAGCAAAGAATAACTGAAGGCAGTTTGGAAACGTATAAGGCTGTTTTCAGTTGGAAGGTGCTACTGGCACATAGAGTCCAAGAGCCATGGGTACTCATCATCTAAAATGTGTGAATCTAAAAACTCAAGAATTGTTCCAATCATAATGGCAGTGATATTGAGAAACCCTAACAGAAATCCAGATGAGTGGCTTCCCCAGATACAGGCTTATTTTCCTCACCTCGTAAGTGATACAGAGGCAAACTACACAGCTGCTGCTGGGCTCCATACTGTCGTCACAGCCCTGGGCGTCTTCTCTGTTCTTGCTCCACCATCTTTAAGTTGTATCATCTTTTATTTCATGCTCCCTGTTTGAAGATAGCTGCTTCTCCTCTAGGAAAGGAAGCAACAGGGCAGAAGTGGCACCTGTATAGGAAAGAAAAACCTAGGGAAAGAGCACACATTTTGGATCAATAGATCTCTCATTTCCAAAGACTGCCAGCTTCTTGAAATAAACCCTTTTGGAGGCTGGCGCTGTGGCATGGCCACTTAAGCTGTCACTTAACGTGGTTGGTTAAGCAATGTCCGGATCCTTTATGGGTGCCTTTCCGAGTCCTAGCTGCTCCACTTCTGATTCAGCTCCCTGCTAATGTATCTGGGATAGCAGAGGGGGATGGTACAAGTGCTTGGGCCCCTGCCACCCTTGTGGGAAACCCGGATGGAGTTACTGGCTCCTGTCCTTAGCTTGGCCCAGCCCTGGCCCTTTTGTCCATTTGAGGAGTCAACTAGTGAATGGAAGATTTCTCTCTGTCTCTCCCTCTCTCTAACTCTGCCTTTTAGATAAATAAAATAAATTAAAAAAAAAAAAAAAAAAAAAGCTTGACTCTTCTAAGAAAGAGATAGAGAGGCTTAGAAATCACTAACAAACATGTCTCATTGGCTACAACTTTGTTACCTGTTGGCTCCTCTTTGCAAGTGAGACTCAGAAAATTAGTTTCAAGGTAGACATATTGCCTTATACCTCCAACTTGGGTTTTATGCTTTAGGATAAAGGGGAGAATGGATAAGGTATAATCAACTATCAAAATTGTGTGCACAGTATTAAATCTGTGCACTGGGACCTGTGCTGTGGTGTAGAGGGTGGAGCTGCTGCCTGCAGTGCCGGCATCCCATGTGGGTACTGGTTTGAGTCCTGGCTGCTCCACTTCCAGTCTGTTCTCTGCTATGGCCTGAGAAGGCAGTGGAGATGGCCCAGGTCCTTGGACCTCTGCACCTACATGAGAGAGGTTCCTGGCTCCTGGCTCCTGGCTTCAGGCTCCTGGCTTCAGCCGTTGCAACCATCTAGGGAGTGAGCCAGTGGATGGAGGACCTCTTTTTCTCTCTCTGCCTCTCCTTCTGTCTCTGTGTAACTCTGACTTTCAAATAAATATATAAATCTTTTTAAAAAAATATGTAGCACTTTATTCTTAACTCACCAGTGTCAGTATTTAAATGTAAGTACACAGGAACCCATTCTCTAGAGATTCTCCTAGGTTCCTTTCAGTCTTATCAATGTTTTTTAAGTTTTCTTGGTGCTATTTAATAGTTGACCCTTTTCTCAGAGCACTTCTTTTATCTATTTGTATCTGCCTTATCTGGCTATACCAGACCCATTTTGGCAAGAAGATTAAATTTTCTTTCACATTCCAGTAAATGTCTTTTTGGCAGACTTCATTTTGTAGCCAACTATTGTGCTGCTGCATTTGACTGACATTTTTAAATTTTATACAGGTGACATTCTTGAATTTCATGGTCCAGAAGGAACAGGAAAAACAGAAATGCTTTACCATTTAACAGCACGATGTATACTTCCAAAATCAGAAGGTGGACTGGAAATAGAAGTCCTATTTATTGACACAGATTACCACTTTGATATGCTTCGGCTTGTTACAATCCTTGAGCATAGACTTTCTCAGAGCTCCGAAGACATCATAAAATACTGCCTTGGAAGATTTTATTTGGTGTACTGCAGTAGTAGCACCCAGTTACTTCTCACACTGTACTCACTAGAAACTATGTTTTGTAGCCACCCCTCTCTCTGCCTTTTGATTTTGGATAGCCTGTCCGTGTTTTACTGGATCGACCGGGTCAACGGAGGAGAAAGTGTTAACTTACAGGAGTCTACTCTGAAGAAATGTTCTCAGTTCTTAAAGAAACTTGTAGATCAGTATCGCTTGGTTCTTTTTGCAACAACACAAAGTATAATGCAAAAAGCCTCCAACTCACCCGAAGAGGTGCCTTCTACCTTTAAACGTGCCTGTGATGCAGAGGTGGACTACAGACCTTATCTGTGTAAGGCGTGGCAACAGCTGGTAAAGCATAGGATATTTTTCTCCAAACAAGATGATTCCAAAAGCAGCAACAAGTTTTCATTAGTGTCACGGCATTTAAAAAATAACAACTTCAAAAAACTTTTTTTTATTATTGCAGAAAGTGGGGTACAGTTTTGTTGATATATTTTGTAAGATAGTCTCACAAGATACTAAGTGTTACAAAGTCTCAGGCTTTCATTCTGAAGTTTCAACCTCTGAAGGAGTTAATATAACAGTATTTCAACACAGAATGTATTTCTTAAACCACTGCAGTAAAACTTCAGACTGTTCTATTTCTGTATTATTGAAGATTAATCTGTATGATAATAAATTAAACTTTGTATTGTTTCTTTTATAAAATAAATAATATACATATTCCAACCTAAATAAAACAGACTTTTATATAACCTTGTCTCATATTTTTGGGATTCATTTTAACTAATTTAGGAAAGTTTAAATGTGTTTCTAATCATATAGTTCTTTAGGAAGATGTGACTTTGGAAAGTGTTTCTGTAGAGCTGGTATTTTCCGTATAGGGATGGGAACAAGGAGCTACCTTGCCATCTGCCTTTTGGTGAAAACACCAAAGCTATGACATGTCAGCGCTTTCTGATCTGAGTTTCACTGAATTTTAAGATGGAGTTACACTGTGATTGAGTTTCTGTATAATTTAAAATTTAAGGAAATAAGATAACCATTTAAGGAACTCTGAAATTTGTTTTGAAATACGCATTTTTGGGGGCTGGCATTGTGGCTTAGCAATTTAAGCTGCTGCCTGCATCCCATATGAGTGCCAAGTGCCGATTCGAATCCTGGCTGCTCCACTTCCAATCCCTCTCCCTGCTAATAGCCTGGGAAAGCAGTGGAAGACTGTTTAAGTGCTTGGGCCCCTGCACTCATGTGGGAGACTCAGAAGAAGCTCTTGGCTCCTGGCTTCAGCCTGGCCCAGCTCCAGCCATTGTGGCCATTTCGGGAGGGAACGAGCAGATGCAAGACTTCTGTCTCCCTCCCTCTGTCTGTAATTCTGCCTCTCAAATAAATAAATAAATATTTAAAAAAATTTTAAGTAACTGTTTTTAAAAAATACTCATTTTTTTCTTCATTGAGTAATAAACAATGCTGAAACTATATCAGAACTGTATGTTACTAACATTTTGTTATCTGTTCAGAATAATCAGACATATCTTGAAATGAATCAAATCATTTCCATCTTGAGTGGCCAGAATGGGGAACATATACGTTAAGGGATATACAAGATAATGCGTTGTGGCTGGCGCCACGTCTCACTAGGCTAATCCTCCACCTGCGGCGCTGGCACCCCAGGTTCTAGTCCCTGCTGGGGCTCCTGATTCTGTTGCTGCTCTTCCAATCCAGCTCTCTGCTGTGGCCCGGGAAGGCAGTGGAGGATGGCCCAAGTGCTTGGGCCCTGCACCTGCATGGGAGACCTGGAGGAAGCACTTGGTTCCTGGCTTCGGATCGGCGCTGTGGCGGCTATTTGGGGGGGTGAACCAATGGAAGGAAGACCTTTCTGTCTCTCTCTCTCTTTCTCACTGTCTAAGTCTGCCTGTCAAAAAACAAAACAAAACCAAGATAATGCGTTATGGTAGGGGAAGAAAGTTTTAGAAATTCTATTTGTGTTTTCATTGAAGAAAATATTAGATTATATCAACATTTGATGTTGGGATTGATCCCAGTGGTCTTCACTCTGTGTGCCAGAATGCCTTATATCACATATGTGTCCAAATTTCTCTGGGAAAAGAAGAAGGGATTGACAGCAGTGTTCCTAAGAGTTTGTTCATGGGTATGTTACCTATTTAGTTCAAACTAATGTAAACTGACTTGTTGAACGGCTGTTCTTGTAAAGGTTTGTTTTTTTTTTTTTTTTTTTTAAATCCTGAAATGAAGCCACAATTACAGATAATGTTCTTCCTAATGTGGGCATAGCCCCACCTGTGTGCTCTGGCTCACTCATAGTTTCCCAGATCAGGGCTGCTTAGGGTGTCTTCTGGATGCTAGTGCTTGCTCGGCTGCAATCTGGACAATCCTTAACCCTATGAGGGGCAGAATTTGGTATATAAAAACCCCAGCTCCCTTGGCCGTAAGTGAGAGGACACTGAGTTGCGAGTGTACTTCAAAATGTGTGTGGAATTAAATGGAATTAAAACAAGTTTATTTTGTTGCAAAGAGATTTTGAAGTCCATTCATAGAATCTTCAAGAAATTCAGGGAAAAGGTATATTGTAAAAAAAAAAAAAAACCTATACATGGATTTAAAAGCTCTTTGCACCAAAGGAAACTTCTTTTGCTGAATATTTCCCATGTTCATTTTGAAGAATGCGCGTGTTTCTCAGAGTGGCCCCAGGAGCCTTGAGTCCTAGTTGTTTACGGTGATGATCTGTTCATTAACACATGAGTTTTTGGCTTTGGTGCCTCCCTCCTCCCACTTCCTCACTCTCATAGGGTTGCTTCCTGAGACTGTTTTCCTCATAAACAGTAATTCCTTGTACAGGAGCCGCTGTGTGTGAGGGATAAAGGAAAACCAACTGTCCGCAGACAGCAAAAAGTCATCAGACTAAAAGCTTTTCTGCAGTATTTGCCCTCTAGCTACATTATGAAATTTAAAACGATGGCAGTCTAATTGCCAATCAAGTTCAGTTCCATTGGATCACATTACTGTTGTTCACACCCACACACCTATGTGGTCTCTAACTAGTGTTATTACTTTGAACATTTTATCCATAGTTCATCCTTTTTCAATTTTTATTTCTGTATTTTATGACATAAAATGTATATTACATGTAAGTAATTTGTAAGTTTTTGAATTGGGAAAATATGCTAATTTTTCTCTCTGCTCAGTGTGTGATCAGTGAAATCTATTGCTCTCTTCTAGAATTCTGCTTCTTTCAGCTATTAAGTAAAAGATAGGAAAATTTAGTTACCTTCCTTCTTAAGCTCTGTAGTGCAGTGAAGTGTGTGACAAATATATATGAAAAACTTAGCAAGTCCTAGGCAGAAGTCTAGCCTTGAATATGATGAGTTTTTCCATTTCTCCTTTATATAAATGAAGTGTTAATCTAATGGACTGTTATTCACAGATTTATCACTTATTCTTCAGGAATAAGATTAAAAAATAAAGAACTTTTACATTAAATTATCAATTGTATATTAATGTGTCAGACCAAAGACTTAGTTATCTTAAGGAGATTTGTTATCTGACATGTTGGAAGGAATTAAGAATACTAGTTAATAAAATTTCTTTTAAACTAAAAGTCGCTGTAATAAGACTTTGTGAGTGTTATAGTATTTGAATATTTGTAAAAAGAATAAGGTTTAAAGATAAAGGAATAAAAATGGCCTGTATGAGGTTACATAAATAATAGATACTAGGGACACTGTATAGAACCCAAAGAATATCCCATTTTTAAAAGATTCATTTATTTATACAGAGAGAGATCTTCTATCAACGGATTCACTCCCCAGATGTCCACAATGGCCAGCACTGAGCCTAGCCACAGTCAGAAGCTTTAGCCAGGTCTCCCACGAGAGTGTAGGGGCCCAAATACTTGGGTCATCTGCTGTTGCTTTTCCCAGGCCATTAGCAGGGAGCTGGATCGGAAGAGGAACAGCTGGGTCACAAACCAGTACCCATGTGATAAGCCAGAATTGCAGGCCGTGGCTTTACTCACTACATCACAACTCTGGCCCCTATCCCATTTATTCTGTTTACCTGTAAGCAAGCATCTCAAGTTCTGTGAGAATCTAGAGGGAAAAAATGCGTGTGAAAATAATTCAGTCACCTAATAAACAGTATACAAAATTAAGATAGTGCTTACCTTATCACTTTCTTTGAATGTATAAAATTTTCAACTTTAAACTATAAAATACTGTACTATTAATATTTTTTAACACTTTCATGCAGACTACTTTTCTCTGTAGATTACTTAAGAATAAGAATAGGGACTAGTGGCCGGCGCCGCGGCTCACTAGGCTAATCCTCCGCCTAGTGGCGCCAGCACACCGGGTTCTAGTCCCGGTTGGGGCGCCGGATTCTGTCCCGGTTTCCCCTCTTCCAGGCCAGCTCTCTGCTGTGGCCAGAGAGTGCAGTGGAGGATGGCCCAGGTGCTTGGGCCCTGCATCCCATGGGAGACCAGGAGAAGTACCTGGCTCCTGCCATTGGATCAGTGCGGTGCGCCGGCCGCAGCGCGCTGGCCGCGGCGGCCATTGGATTGTGAACCAACGGCAAAAGGAAGACCTTTCTCTCTGTCTCTCACTGTCCACTCTGCCTGTCAAAAAAAAAAAAGAATAGGGACTAGTGCTGTGGCGTAGAGCGTTAAATCATCGCCTGCAGTGTTGGCATCCCATATGGGTGCCGGTACAAACCCAGCTGCTCTGCTTCCCATCCAGCTTACTGCTAATGCGTCTAGGAAAGCAGCAGAAGATGGCCCAAGTACTTGGGCCCTTGTACCCAGGTGGGAGACTCAGAGGAAGCTAGCCTCAGCTGTTGCAGCAATTTGGAGAAAAACCAGTACATGGAAGATTGGCTCTGGCTCTCCTCTGCAGCTCTCCAAGTAAATAAATAAAACCTTTAAAAAAGAAAACAATAAGGATAAAAATAAAGACATTTACAAACTAACAAAACCAGAATTTGCCAGGCCAGTGTTGGCACAGCTTGTAACATGTGCATTCTATATCTAATGTTGGTTCAAGTCCCAGCTGCTCTGCTTTTTCATTTTTCTTTTAAAGATTCACTTATCTATTTGAAAGTCAGAGAGAGAAAGGCAGAGAGAGAGAGATCGCCCATCTGCTGGTCCACTCCCCAACCAGCTGCAATGGCCAGAGCTGCGCCTATCAGGAGCCAGGAGCCTCCTTCCGGTCTCCCACACGGGCGCAGGGTCCCAAGGACCTGGGCCACCCTCCACTGCCTCCCCAGGTCATAGCAGAGAGCCAGATCAGAAGTGGAACAGCTGGGACATGAACCAGTGCCCACATAGGATGCCAGCACTGCAGGTGGCAGCTCCATCTGGTACGCCACAGCCCCTTTGCTTCTGATCCAGCTTCCCACTAATGCACCTGGGAAGTCAGCAGAAGATGGTCCAAGTACTTGGGTCCCTGCCACACATATGGAAGACCAGAATGGAGTCTCTGGTTCTTGACTTCTCCTTGGCCCAGACCTGGCTATGATAGCCATTTGGGGAGTGGAACAGTGTCTGGAAGCTTGCTGTCCCTCCCTCCCTCTCTCAGTCACAAACCTTAAAACATTACTTCAGAAATATATTTTATAAAGGGTTAAGTTGGTGAAAGACATAAAGCAAGAATGGTAAAATATTTATAACTTGGGGCAGGCATTGTGGCATTGTGGGTTAAGCTGTCACCTGTAATGCAGGCATTCCATATGGGCAGTGATTCAAGTCCCAACTTCTCCACTTCCAATCCAGCTCCCTGCAAATGCACCAGGGAAAGCAGTGGAAGATGGTCCCAGTATTTGTGCTCCTGCACTCAGTGTGGGAGACCCATTGAAGCTCGTGGCTCCTGGCTTCAGCCTGGCCAGCTGTGGCAGTTGCGGCCATTTGGGGAGTCAAACAGCAGATGGAAGCTCTCTCGCTGTCTTTTTATTTTAATGGTGTCTGTTTGTGTGTATGTGTTTATTTATTTGAAAGTCAGTTACACAGAGGAAGAGAGAGAAAAGTATTTCCATCTGGTGCTCTCCCCAGGGGGCTACAACAGCCAGGGCTGGGCCTAGTCCAAGCCAGGAGCTTCTTCTGGGTCTCGCACAGGGGTGGCAGGTGTACAAGCACTTGAGCCATCCTCTGTTGCTTTTCTCAGGACATTAGCAGGGAACTGGATTGGAAGTGGAGCAGCCAGGACTCAAACTGTGCCAATGTGGGCTGCATTGCAGGCAGTAGTTTTACCTGCTATGTCACAACACCAGCCGTGTGCGATCTCTCTCTCTCTCTCTCTCTTTGTAACTCTGCCTTTCAAATGAATAAATCTCAAAAAAAAATTATAACTTAAATCTGAGTGCTATTAGCTAAAGTGATCTCAGATTTTTAGTGTCTCCAGGTTCAACCAAAACAAGCAAAAATCCTCCCTAGAGAGTAACATCATCCTAAGCTTCACAATGTTTCTTCCTTTTTTTTAAAGATTTATTTATTTATTTGCAAGTTACAAGAGGTTGTTACAGAGGTTGAGGGAGAGACATCCACTGGTTCACTTCCCAAGTGGCCGGAATGGCCGGAGGTAGGCCAGTCCAAAGCTAGGAGCCAGAAGCTTTTTTTGGATCTTCCACATGGGTGCAGGGGCCCAAGTACTTGGGCCATCTTCTGCTTTCCCAGGCACATTAGCAGGGAGGTGGATTGGAAGTGGAGCAGCCAGGACTCAAACCAGTGCCCACATGGGATGCCAGCCTTACCCATTACGCCACAACACTGACCCCTTCACATTGTTTCTAAAATTCACAGGGGCTACGGTCTAAAATGCAACCTAAGATAACATAGCACACAAATAGGCCAGTATCTGTGTGAGAAACTGCAGAAATAAATGACTCCCTCATTACATAAACATATATCCATAACATAAATAAAAATAATGCATGGCAAAAACAACATATAAGTTGGGACCAGAGATAGATGGGGGTTAGTGTTCAAAGCTCCTTTCATTGTCCTAAGAAGGGAAAGTATATCAGTCAACACTAGATACCAATAAAGAGATTGCATCTTACGATTTCTAGAATAACCAGTCAATAGAAAAAGGGTATAAATTCTGAATGAATAGAAGAAAAATGATGAATGATTTTATAAATTTTTAAAAAACAGGTCGGTGCCGTGGCTCACTAGGCTAATCCTCTGCCTGTGGCACTGGCACCCTGGGTTCTAGTCCCATTCGGGGCACTAGATTCTGTCCTGATTGCTCTTCCAGTCCAACTCTCTGCTGTGGCCCGGGAAGGCAGTGGAGGATGGCCCAAGTGGTTGGGCCCTGCACCCACATGGGAGACCAGGAGGAAGCACCTGGCTCCTGCTGTGGATCGGCGCAGTGTGCCTGCCGCAGCACACGAGCCGTAGCGGCCATTTGAGGGGTGAACCAATGGAAGGAAGACCTTTCTCTCTGTCTCTCCCTCTCACTGTCTAACTCTGCCTGTCCAAAAACAGAAAAAAGAAAAAGAAAAGAAAAGAGGGGCCAGCACTGTCTACAGTAGGTTAAGCATCTGCCTGCTGCACCAGCATCCCATATGGGCGCCGGTTCGAGTCCCTCCTCCTTTTCTGATCCAGCTCCCTGCTGGCGGCTAGGAAAGCAGTAGAAGATGTCCCAAGTCCTTGGGCCCCTGCACTCACATGGGAAACCCAGAAGAAGCTCCTGGCTGCTGGCTTCAGATAAGCTCAGCTCCGGCCATATGGGGAGTGAACTAGCAATGGAAGACCTCTCTCGCTCTGTCTTTCCCTCTGTCTGTAACTCTGCCCCTCAAATAAATAAAACTTAAAAAAAAAAAAAAAAAGTGAAGGGAAGGAAAAAACTTGCTTATCTTAATCTGTTTTGTGTTGCTGTACTGGAGACTGGGTAATTTGTAAACAGCAGAGATGTATCCTTTTTTTGAAAGCACTTGGGTCATTCACCTTTTTTTTTAAAGATTTTTTAAAAGATTTATTTATTTATTTATTTGAAAGTCAAAGTTACAGAGAGAGAGAGAGAGAGAGAGAGAGGTCTTCCATTCGCTGATTCACTCCTTGACTGCAACAGTCAGAGCTGTGCTATCTGAAGGCAGAAGCCAGGAGCTTCCTCCGGTTCTCCCATGCGGGTGCAGGGACCCAAGCACTTGGGCCATCCTCTACTGCCTTCCCAGGCCACAGCAGAGAGCTGGACTGGAAGTGGAGCAGCCGGAACTGGAACTGACACTTACATGGGATGTCAGCAGTGCAGATGGAATATTTACCCACTACACCACAGCACCAGGCCCCCCCAAAAGGATTTTATTACCAGTTTTTGTGTTTTTTTCTTCCTCATACAAAATGTTGAACTCTTTACCTAGAATAGAGTCAATGTTCTGTGTATAAAGTTAAATGAAAATAAATCTTAGTGAAAAAAACAAGACTGGGAACAGGAGAGGGAAGAGGACAAGATAGGAGTGTGGATGGGAGGGTTGGTACGGGCAGAATTACAGAGAGAGAGAAGTCTTCCATCCACTGGTTCATTCTCCAAGTGTCCGCAACAGCTGGAGCTGCACCAATCCAGGAGCCAGAAGCCAGAAACTTCTTCTGGGTCTCCCATGTGCGTGCAGGGGCCCAAGCACTTGGGCTATCTTCTCTGCTTTCCCAGGCCATAGCACAAGGCTGGATTGGAAGTGGAACAGCCAGGACTCGAACCAGTGCCCATATGGGATGCCGACACTGCAGGCAGAGGCTTTACCCGCTATGCCACAGCACCAGCCCCAAGAGATGTATTTCTTAAAATTCTGGAGCTGAGAAGTTCAAGGTGAAGGGACCCACAAGTGGCTGGAGCCTTCTTGCTGCCTCATCCCATAGAAGAGGCAGAAGGGCAAGAGAGCAAGCAAGCATGTGAGCAAGAGGTGGCTGAACTCCTTTTATAACAGGTTCACTCCTGAGATAGCATTAATCCACTCATGAGGGTTACACATTAAAACTGCAGCAATAATATATGAGGACAACGTGAAAAAAGATGATACAATGCTATTTCTAAACCAGTTATACCAGTGATTAGATGTAACTGGACTAAGTACTCTAAAATGACAATTTTAGACTGGACTTTTAAAATACATATTTTAGATTTATTCATTTGGAAGGCAGAGCAACAGAGAGTGAGGGAGAAACAGTAAGAGAACGGCTCATTTCCCAAATGGCTGCCACAGCCAGGTCTGGGTCAGGCTGAAGCTGGGAACCAGGAAATCCAACCTGGTCTCCCACATGGGTGGCAGGAACCCCACTACTTGGACCATCTTCTATTCTCTTCAGGGGCATCAGCAGGAAGCTGGATTGGAAATGGAACAGTGAGGACTTGAACTGACAATGCAGTATGGGATGCCAGTGTTGCAGGCAGCTGCTTAGTCCACGTTACAACAATGCCAGCCCATAAAATATGTATTTTAAAATACATATCTTTAACAGATACCTAGCATTTTTGTTTTTGTTTCACTTTTGAAAAGCAGAGAGAAAAATGACCTGCAGTAATCAGGGCAGGGCCAGGCCAGAGCAGGAGCTAGAACTCAGATTCTCCCCATGTGGGTAGAAAGCACACGAGTATTTGAGCTGCCTCCAGGAAGCACATTAACAGGAGGCTGGAATGGAGAGCAGAGCTGACACTTAGCCCAAACACAGGATGCAGGTGTCACAAACAGTGCCTTGACCACTGTGCCAAACGGCTGCACCCACATTTTCTGTTTTAAAGAGACACATCTACCCATGAGAAGACAAAAAATTTGACATTAAAAGAATGAGGAAAGATCTATGAAAAAGAAATTGAAAAAAACCTAGTATACCCAGAATAATATCAGACAAAAGAAATATTAAGGGGCTGGCCCTGTGGCTTAGTAGGTTAAGCCTGCCCCTGTGGCACCAGCATCCCACATGGGTGCTGGTTTGAGTCCCAGCTGCTTCACTTCTGATTCAGCTTCCTAATAATGGCCTGGGAGTGCAGTGAAAGATGATCCTAGTGCTTGGGCCCCTGCACCCACGTGGGAGACCCAGAAGAAGCTCCTGGCTCCTGGCTTTGGATCGGCCCAGCTCTGGCCATTGTGGCCATTTGGGGAGTGAACCAGCAAATGTCTCCTTCTCTCTGTCTATAATTCTGCCTCTCAAATAAATAAGTAGATAAATCTCTTAAAAATAAGTAAATAGGCCGGCTCCGCGGCTCACTAGGCTAATCCTCCGCCTAGCGGCGCCGGCACACCGGGTTCTAGTCCCGGTCGGGGCGCCAGATTCTGTCCCGGTTGCCCCTCTTCCAGGCCAGCTCTCTGCTGTGGCCAGGGAGTGCAGTGGAGGACGGCCCAAGTGCTTGGGCCTTGCTCCCCATGGGAGACCAGGATAAGTACCTGGCTCCTGCCATCGGATCAGCACGGTGCGCCGGCCGCGGCGGCCATTGAAGGGTGAACTAACGGCAAAGGAAGACCTTTCTCTCTGTCTCTCTCTCTCTCACTGTCCACTCTGCCTGTCAAAAAAAAAAAAAAAAAAAAGTAAATAGAAATTTTAAAAAACCATTAAGACAAGAACTATTTCTAGAGGCAAAGATAAAATGATAAAATTCAGTGGAGGACGGCCCAAGTGCTTGGGCCCTGCACCCGCATGGGAGACCAGGAGAAGCACCTGGCTCCTGGCTTTGGATCAGCTCGGTGCACCGGCTGCAGCGCGCCAGCCGTGGTGGCCATTGGAGGGTGAACCAACGACAAAGGAAGACCTTTCTCTCTGTCTCTCTCTCACTGTCCACTCTGCCTGTCAAAAAAAAAAAAAAAAAACAAAAACAAAAAAAAACCACTTTTGATAATAAGAGGATAAGATAAATTCAGAATCACAGTGGGAGATTTTAACACCTCTGTGCAATTGGTTGAAGAAATAATGAGAGGTAAGGTGGGGCTGGCACTGTGACATAGTGGGTAAAGTCAAAACCTGCACTGCTGACATCCATTATGGGCACCAATTCAAGTCCTGGCTGCTCCTCTTCTGATCCGGCTCTCTGCTATCGCCTGGGAAAGCAGTAGAAGATGGCTCAAGTCCTTGGGCCCCTGCACCCACATGGGAAACCTGGAAGAAGCTCCTGGCTCCTGGCTTTGAATTGGCCCAGCTCTGGCTGTCACAGCCATTATGGGAGTGAACTAGTGGATGGAAGACCTCTCTGCCTCTGCCTCTCTAACTGCCTTTTAAATAAATTAATAAACTTTTAAAAAGAAGAAGAAATAAGGATACTAAAGACCAAACAACATGATTAACAAACAGCAGCCCACACATCAAGTGAAAAATGCTTTAAGTATGCTTGTAACATTGTTTTAGTGGCCATAAATCTGTCAACAAAATTTAAGAATGGATCCAGTGTTGTGGCACAACAAGCGAAGCTGCTGCCTACAATGCTGGCCTCCTGTATCAGAATTCTGGTCTGAGTCCTGGCAGCTCTGCTTCTAATCCAGCTCCCTGCTCATATTCCCAGGAAAGCAGCAGAGGATGGCCCATGTACCTGGGCCCCTGCCACCCACGTGGGAGACCTAGATGGAGGTCTGGGCTCCTGGCTTTGGCCTAAACCCACCCCAACTGTTGTGGCCATTTGGACAGCGCACCATCACATGGAAAATACCTCTCTCTCTTTTTCTCTCTCTTTCCAACTCCCCTCCCCTTCAAATAAATAAATAAATCTTTTTTTAAATCACCAATTAAGTTCCTCAGTGACAACACAATTAAACCAGAAATTAGTAGCGAATAAATCATTGGAATATTATATTTTGCAATTAAGGAATGAACTTTAGAAGAAAATATGGATTACAGATATTGCAGTGAAAAAAATCAAATCTTTTGAACTCAGTAATGAAAAGCCTCAAGATTGAGGAGTATGACTAAAACAATACTTAAGGGTGAAATGGATAGCCTTAAATCATATTACATAAGAAGAAAGACTTGGGGGCTGGTGCCGCGGCTCTCTAGGCTAATCCTCCGCCTGCAGCACTAGCATCTCATACGGGCGCTGGGTTCTAGTCCTGGTTGCTCCTCTTCTAGTCCAAGCTCTCTGCTGTAGCCCAGGAAGGCAGTGGAGGATGGCCCAAGTGGTTGGGCCCTGCACCCGCATGGGAGACCAGGAGAAGCACCTGGCTCCTGGCTTTGGATTGGCGCAGCGCCAGCTGTGGCGGCCATTTGGGGGATGAACCAACGGAAGGAAGACCTTTCTCTCTGTCTCTCTCTCTTAAAAAAAAAAAAAAAAAAAAAGACTTGGGACAGGTGTTGTGGCACCCATGTTGGAGTGCCAGTTGAAGTCCCAATGACTCTGTTTCTGACTCAGTTCCCTGTGAATGTGCCAGGGAAGCAGTGGGTGATGCCCCAAGTCATTGGATCCCTGCCACCCATGTGGGAGGCTGAGATGGAGTTCTGGCTTCCTGGTCTCAGCTCAGCCCTGGCTGTTGTAGGTATTTGAGGAAAACCAGCAGTTGGAAGCTCTGTCTCTGTCATTTTGCCTTTGAAGTGAATAAATAAATACGTTTTTTCAAAAGAACAATTTAAAATGAGCTTAATAAGCATTTATTTCAAACAAAATGAAGTGACTTAAATCCAATTCCCAAATAAAAGAAATGGAATAAGAAAAGCAGAGATTAGAAAAGCTGAAAGCCTTTCTCCTCAGATCTGGAACAAGACTAGGATATCCACTTTCACTACTCTTATTCAATACAGTACTGGAAGTATTAGCAAGAGCATTTAGGGAAGAGAAATAAATAAAGGGCATACAAATCAGAAAAGAAGTCAAAATATCTATTTGCAGATGATGGGATTTTGTACATGTAAGAACCTAAACACTCCACCAATAAGCTATTAGAACTTATAAGCCAATTCAGTAAAATTGCAGCTTACAAAATAAACATACCTGGAAAAGTAGCTTTTTTATACACTAATGGTGAGCTCACTGAAAGAGAAATCAAGAAAAAAGATCCTATTCACAATAGCCACAAAAAAATTTAGGAATAAATTTATTTTTAAAAGATTGATTTATTCTTTTATTTGAAAGGCAGAACTACAGAGAGGCAGGGGCAAAGAGAGAGAAAAATCTTCTAGCCACTGGTTCACTCCCCAGATGGCCACAACGACCAGAGTTGGGCCAATCTGCAGTCAGGAGCCGGGATCTTCTGAGCCCTTTACACAGATGCAGGGGCCCAGGGACCTGGGCCTGCTTTCCCAGGCCACAGCAGAGAGCCAGATCAGAAGTGGAGCAGCGGGACTTCAACCAGTGCCCATATGGGATGTTGGCAACTGTAGGCAATGCTTTACCCACTATGCCACAGCACCAGCCTCAGGAATAAATTTAACCAAAGAAATGAAAAATCTCTACAATGAAAATTACAAAACATTGATAAAAGAATTCATCAAAGACAAAAAATATGGAGAACTATTCCTTGCTCATGAATTGAAAGAATCAATATGTTTAAACTGGGGCCAGTGCTGTGGTGTAGAAGAGTAAACCTTTGCCTTCAGTACTGGCATCCCATTTAGGTGCTGGTTCAAGTCCCTGCTACTCCATTTCTGATCTAGCTCTTTGTTAATAGGCCTGAGAAAGCAATGGAGGACAGCCCAAGTACCTGGAAGAAGCTCTTGGTACCTGGCTTTGGCCTAGCCCAGCCCCAGCCATTGTGGCCATTTGGGGAGAGAATCAGCAGATGGAAGATCGATCTTTCTCTCTCTCCTCTTTCTGTATCTCTGCCTTTCAAATAAATAAATAAGTAAATACATTTTTAAAAATATATCATTAAACTGTCTATACTACCTAAAGTGATCTATAGATTCAGTGCAATCCCTATCAAAATATCAATGACCTTCTTTATGGATTTAGGAAAAACAATCCTAAAATTCATATGAAATCACAAAAGACCTAGAATAGCCAAAGCAATCTTGAGAAAAAACAATCAAACCTCAGGCATCACAGTACCTGACTTCAAAGTACACTAAAAAGCCAGATTAATTAAAACAGCATGGAACGGCATAAAAACTTAACACATAGACGAATGGAACAGAACAGAGCCCAGAAATTCATTCACAGACATACAGCCAACTGATTTTTGACAGATGTACCCAGACATTGGAGTAAGGTTAATCTCTTCAATAAATGATGCTGGTGGGACCGGCACTGTGGTGTAGTGGGTAAAGCTGCCACCTGCAGTGCCGGCATCCCATATGGGCACCAGTTCAAGTCACCGCTGCTCCACTTCCAATCTAGCTCTCTGCTATGGCCTGGCAAAGCAGTAGAAGATGTCCCAAGTCCTTAGGCCCCAGCACCTACATGGGAGACCCAGAAGAAGCTCCTGGCTTAGGATGGAAGTCCTGTCTCTGTCTCTGTCTCTCTCTCCCCCTCCCCCTCCCCCCCTCCCTCTCCCCCTGCCTCTCTGTAACTCTGCCTTTCAAATAAATAAATAAATCTTTAAAAAAAAATGATGCTTGTAAAACTGGATATTTATATGTAGAAGAATCAGATCCATACCTCTAACCATTTACAAAAATCAACTCAAGATATATCAAAGGCCTAAATGTAAGACTGAAAGCTATGAAGTTGCTGGAAGAAAATGTAGAGGAAATACTCCAAGACATTGGTGTAGGTGATGACTTCTTAGGTAAAACCCCCAACACAAGCAACAAAAGCAAAACTAAACAAGTGGATCTTATCAAACTCATAAGTGTATGCATTGCAAGGAAAATTATCTGTAGAGTGAAAAGACATCCAACAGAATGGGAAAATATACTTGCTTGCTACCTGACAAAGGATTAATACCTAGGATGTATCTGCAACTAAAAAACTCACCAAAAACAACAAAATGACTTTAGTTAAGAAATGGGCAAAGGAGGAGCTGGTGTTGTGGTACAGCAGGCAAAGACGCTGCCTGCGATGCCAGCATCCTATGTGGGCACCAATTCCTGTCCCAACTTTTCCACTTCCAATCCTGCTCTTTGCTAATCTGCCTGAGAAAGCAGCCAAAAATGACCCAAGTACTTGGGCCTTTGTCACCCATGTGAGACCCAGATGAAATATCTGATTCCTGGTTTGACCTGGCCCAGTCCTGGCTGGTGCAGCTATCTGGGGTGTGAACCAGCAGATGGAAGATATCTTTCTCTCCATCTCTCCCTCTCTCTCTGTAACTCTGCCTTTCAAATAAATAAATAAATCTTTAAAAAAGGGGATGTGTGTGGCATAGTGGGTAAAGCCACCACCTGCAGTCCCAACATCCATTATGGGTGCTGGTTTGAGTCCTGGCTACTCCACTTCCGATCCAGCTCTCTGCTATGTCCTGGGAAAGCAGTAGAAGATGGCCCAAGTCCTTGGGTCCCTGCACCCATGTGGGAGACCCGGAAGAAGCTCCTGGCTCCTGGCTTTGAATTGGCCTAGCTCCAGCCGTCGCAGCCATTTAGGGGAGTGAAGCAGCAGATGGAAGACGCTCCCCTCCCCCGGCCCGGTTCTCCTTCTCTTCCTATGTAATTCTGACTTTCGAATAAATAAACTCCCAGTTCCTGCTATCATGGGTATTTGGCTAGGGAAGCTGCAGATGGGTACTCTGACCTTATCTTTCTCTGTCTCCTTATCTTTCTCTCTGTGTGTCTCTCTCTCTTTCCCCTATCCTCCCTCTCAAAGAAACAAATAAAAATTTTAAAATAAAATTGGGTCAGCCGAATAATTTGTCCCTGGAGATCCAATTCTTCAAATTGTCTTGAGAGGAAAATACAAGCTTTTCATGGCATAGATACTACCCATCTACCAGCTATTGGCTATTTAGAAATTTGTTGGTGAAAATTTTGCCCAAACTTTGCTGCCTGTTTTACAACACGTAGTGCAGCCTGGTTCTACAATTCATTCTCTGCAATTCATGGGCTCTGTTTAATAACATTCAGATTCTCCTTGGTTCGATTCTGTTCTGTTCTTTTTTTTCTTCCTTCCTCCCTCCTTCCCTCCCCTCCCCTCCCCTTTCCTTCCCTTCCCTCCTTCCAAGATTTATTTATTTGAAAGGCAGAGTTAGAAAGGGAGAGACAGATCTTCCATCCATTAGTTTACTCCCTAAATGGCTGCAACAGCCTGGGCTAAACCAGGCCACAGCCAGGAGCCTGAAACTGCCATCTGGTCTCCCATATGGGTGGCAGGGGCCCAAATACTTGAGCCATCTTCCACTGCTTTTCCCAGGCATATTAGCAGGGAGCAGAATCAGAAGTGGAACATCCAGGACTCATACCTGCACTCATGGGCTGCCGACATCACAGGCTGTGGCTTAACCTGCTGTGCCTCAGTGCCAGCTCTTCCCTTCAGTTTTCAACACCCTCAGGTTAACCATAATGACCACAGCTTCTGTTTGGTGTCACTTGGTATGCATACCCAAAACATAGAATCTTATTGGAATGAATGTAAGCAAAGCACAAGACTGTAAGAGGAATTCATTTCAATATGTGGGGGTCATATTTGGCCAAATTTACCTGGGATGATCAATTTGGGAATAGTTCTTTCAATTCCCTTTTGCTGTGTGTATCAGAACAATTTCAAGTTAATAATATGATGTTTGCGGGAACAGTTGTTTGGCATAGCAAGTAAAACGCTGCTTAAGATACCCATATCTTTTCTTTTTTCTTTCTTTCTTTCTTTCTTTTTTTTTTTTTTTTTTTTTTTTTTTTTGACAGGCAGAGTGGACAGTGAGAGAGAGAGACAGAAAGAAAGGTCTTCCTTTTTGCCGTTGGTTCACCCTCCAATGGCCGCCGCGGCCAGCCACCGCACTGATCCGATGGCAGGAGCCAGGTACTTCTCCTGGTCTCCCATGGGGTGCAGGGCCCAAGCACTTGGGCCATCCTCCACTGCACTCCCTGGCCACAGCAGAGGGCTGGCCTGGAAGAGGGGCAACCGGGACAGAATCCGGCGCCCCGACCGGGACTAGAACCCGGTGTGCCAGCGCCGCAAGGCGGAGGATTAGCCTAGTGAGCTACGGCGCCGGCCAAGATACCCATATCTAACACCTGAGTGCCTGGGTTTAATTACCAGCTCTGGGCTGGCACTGTGGCATAGCAGGTAAAGCTCCCACTGGTGGTGCCAGCATCCCATATAGGCACTGATTCAAGTCCTGGATGCTCTGTTTCCAATCCAGCTCCCTGCTGGTACATCTTGGAAGGCAGTGGAGGAAGTCTGTGGGCCCCTGCACCCACATGGGAGACCCAAAAGAAGCTCCTGACTCCTGACTTCAGACAGGCCCAGCTCAGCCCAGTTGCATAAATAAATAAATCTTAAAAAAAAAATTACCAGCTCTGCTTCCAATTCCAGCTTCCTGCTGATATGCACGGTGGATGGCAACAAGTGATGGCTTGGGTGCTTTGGTTCCTGCCATCCACATAAGGGACTCCTGGCCTCTGGCTTTGGCCTGGCTCAGACCCATTTGTGAGATGCAGGAAATGAACCAGTAGAGAATGGGAGATACCTCTCTCTCTCTGAAGGTAGGAGAGAACGTCCACTTTGATTATGGCCCTGTCTAAATAATGTCAGAGTTTGTGGACTCTGGAAGCTTCCATAGCCTTGACAGTTCATGACAAGAGCCTCGGGTGATCACTGACGTCATAAACAAGAGTGTCAATTGTTTAATCAACAACAGGAGTCACTGTGCACTTGCTCCCCATGTAGGGATAAATAATTTTAAAATAATAGCATGATGTTTTGATTAATATATTTCTTTTTATTGTATATATCATCAGGGCCAAATTTCTTCAATTTTATGTGTCTGAGAAATAAATTGTTCAGTTGACTCATAAAATGAATAAAAGGCATGTGAAAGAAACAAAATTCTCAGTAGTTAAAGATTGCATAATTGTATACATGGAGATCCAGAATCCCCTAATAATCAGATTATTAGGATAAGAGTTTAGAGAATTTGTTACTTAAACTTTTAAGTTTTTCTAAATACCAGCAACAGAATTAGAAAATGAAGTTTTTAATATATACAATTTTCAATCCAACTAAAAATATTCATATATGCCTCCTAGAAATAAATCTAACAAAAATATGCAAGGACCCTCCCCTCTTCTTTTTTTGTAAGGCATTTTTGGAGAAACTCAAAGCTCCATTAAAAGAAGCTTCAAAGGAAGCCTGACTAAATGGGGAGGTTAGCATGTCCATGATTGGAAAGCTCGATATTATAAAGACATCAGTTTTATGATTGAGCAAATGAGCAATTCCTGTCAAAATATCAACAAAAGTATTTTTGTTTGTTTTGCTTTATTTTGGAACTTGGTAGTCCGTTTCTTAAATCTACTAGAGTAAGGAGCCAAGAAAATCCAAGCCTCTTGTTATGGTTTGGATAATAATTTGGGTGTCCCCCAAAGGCTCATGTTTAAGGGCTTGATCCCCAAAGTCTTTTTTTAAAGATTTTAATATTTGAGAGGTAGAGTCACAGACAGTGAGAGGGAGAGGAGACAGAGAGAAAGGTCTTCCTTCTGCTGGCTCACTCCCCAGATGGCTGCAACCTTCAGAGCTGAGCTGATCCAGAGCCAGGAGCTTCTTCTAGGTCTCCCATGTGGGTACAGGGGCCCAAGCACTTGGTCCATCTTCTACTGCTTTCCCAGGAGCATTAGCAGGGAGCTGGATTGGAAGAGGAGCAGCCAGGACTAGAATCAATGCCCATAAGGGATTCGGTGCTGCAGGCAGAGGATGAACTTATTGTGCCACAGCACCCCCCCTCCAAAGTCTTAATATCAGTGGATTGAGGGTGAAAATCCAATTATGGTATCTGAAGGTAGGGCCTTGGAAAGTGCTTAGATTGGATGAAGCTGCTAGGATAGAGCCAATGATTGAATCAGACAGATCTGTAAGGGGAAGATCACATGCAGGCGTAGGGGATGTTCAGCCTATGGGCCATATATGGCCCTGTGAAGTCCCCGGCACTGCCTAGGCAAGTGCAAGTGGAACTTGAAATTCAATAAATCTGTAGCATGCTAAATTTTAAGTTGATAATTTCGTATGCTCCAGAAATGGTGTTATAAAAATACCCAAATGGCCCTGGACAGAAGGACATTTTCCCACCCTGATAGAGAATAGATGATGAGTGTGGGCTTTGTCTCCTCCTCTCAGCTTCCTGACTGACCTTGTGATCCTCCCTCTGCTTGGCTTCTGCCATCCTTTGCCCTCAGCAGATGCCAGACCTGATCTTAGACTGTGAGTCCCTAAGTGTCAAAGGGATCACACAAATAAAATCAATATCTGCTAATAATAACTGATAGAATTAAAAAGGAGAGAACCATTCAACATGGGAAGCAGGACACACAGCAGACTCATAGAATGACAAATACCCTAAACAGCACTCTGGCCTCAGAATCAGCCCTTAAGGCATTCGGATCTGGTTAAAAAAGCCCATGAGAGTTTCTCAGGCATGGAAAGCCAAGACACTGGCAAAAAATGACCTAAATGAAAGATCTCTGTGAGTGAGGTCCCAGTGGAAAGAAGGGATCATTAAAGGAGGAGGTACCTTTCTCTGAAGGTAGGAGAGAACGTCCACTTTGATTATGGCCCTGTCTAAATAATGTCAGAGTTTGTGGACTCTAGAGGCTTCCATAGCCTTGGCAGTTCATGACAAGAGCCTCAGGTGATCACTGACGTCATAAACAAGAGTGTCAATTGTTTAATCAACAACAGGAGTCACTGTGCACTTGCTCCCTATGTAGGACCTCTGCCCTTAATGTGTTGTACTATGAGGATTAATGGTAAAACTAGTCTTCAAACAGTACTTTATACTTTGTATGTCTGTATGGGTGCAAACTGTTGAAATCTTTACTTAGTATAGAGTTGATCTTCTGTATATAAAGATAATTATGGCCAGCGCTGCGGCTCACTAGGCTAATCCTCCACCTGTGGCGCCAGCACCCCGGGTTCTAGTCCCGGTTGGGGCACTGGATTCTGTCCCGGTTGCTCCTCTTCCAGTCTAGCTCTCTGCTGTAGCCCTGGAAGGCAGTGGAGGATGTTCCAAGTGCTTGGGCCCCTGCACCCACATGGAAGACCAGGAAGAAGCACCTGCTCCTGGCTTTGGGTCGGCTCAGTGCACCAGCTGTAGCAGCCATTTGGGGGGGTGAACCAACGGAAGGAAGACCTTTCTCTCTGTCTCTGTCTGTCTCTGTCTCTCTCTCTCTCTCTCACTAACTCTGCCTGCCCCCCCCCCAAAAAAAGAGAGTTTGTGTAAAATAAACCAGCTCTACATTGAAAAGAAAAGATAATTAAAAATGAATCTTAATGAAGAATGGGGTGAGAGAGGGAGCAGGAGGTGGGATGGTGGTTTGGGGGTGGGAGGGTGGGTATGAGGGGAAGAACTGCTATAATCCAAAAGTTGTACTTTTGAAATTTATATTTATTAAATAAAAGCTTTCTATTAAAAAATAAAAAAAATTTAAAAAAAGACTGTGAATCCCTAAAACTGAGCCAAAATAAACCTTTCCTAAGTAACTTCTTTCTTTTAGTGGTAGTAATAAAAGGCTAATACACCACATCTACCAACTCAGATCCTCCAGGAAGCAGATGCTTAAGATGTGGTAAAAAGTGCAAGATGTGAAAGACCAAGGAGAGAACGGGGAGCAGGATTAGGCAGGCTCTTCAGACTGATTCAGGTCTGACATCTGTGGAAGAAAGAACGTCAGACTTCCTGCGCCACCCTGAGAAGTTCTTTGCCTCATTCTGGAGGGGTCCCACACTGGGCAGAAATGGCGAGGTCTTGGTACCCCTGCCTTGCTCAGGCATTGGGTGGTGGCCTGGATAGAGCATGGCATCAGCGCAAGTGCTGCAGCAGATGCTAGAAGCACTTTAGCTGCAAGCTGTCAATTAACTCCACCCATCAGGGCAGATTCACTCTCAAGGGAGAATTGAGCAGTGCACTTGTTAAGTGATTTTAAAGACTGAAGTAGAGGGAGTTAAAGTATGTTATGAGGCTGTTTAGCTAAAATAAGAGAATGTATTATTGGTACAAGGATAGAAAACTAGAATATAGAGCTCCAGACAAACCCACATGTTTGAAACTTTATTAGAGTCCAGAAGTAACAAATAAGTGAGAAATGGATGGACTATTCAATCAGTGTAACGAGGATGAATGATAAACATGGAAAAAATTAAACAGGATCATTATGTAATACCATATTGTTTTTAAGATTAATCCCAAGAGCTCAAAACTACAGATTAAATATAATATTATTATGATCTTCGAGAAGGGAAGTATTCTTTTCGTTCTTTTAATTTCATTTAAGAGGCAGACAAAGAGACAGAATAAGAGAGAAATCTCACCTCCACTGATTCACCCCCCAAATGCAAACAACAGCTGGAGCAGGGCCAAGCTAAAGCCAGGAACCACGAACTCAATCTGGATCTCCCACATCAGTGGTAGGGAACCAACCACCTGAGCCATCACCTGCCGCCTCCCAGGCAAATTGGGAAAAGATATGAAAATCTAACCTAGATACTCTGATACTTACTTAATCTGTGGTGGGGTTGGGTGGGGGGACAGATATTGCAAGTAGTGTCAACCACTAGACCAAATGCCCATCCCAAGGAAAGTATTTTTCAAAACAGACACCAAAAGCATTCATAAATGGGGCCAGCCTATATAGCAGGTCACACTCTGCTTACAGCAACCAGCATCCCATATGGGTGCCAGTTCAATACCTGGCTGCTCCACTTCCAATCCAGCTCCCTGCTAATGCACCTGGGAAAGCAGTGGAAGATGGCCCTAGTGCTTGGTCCCCTACACCCACATGGACCAGACTGAAGTTCCTCGCTTCTGGCTTCAGCCTGGCCCAGCCCTAGCCCCAGTCCCTCTGTCCATTTTCAGAGTGAATCAATGAATGGAAGCTCTTTCCCTCTCTGTGTAACTCTGGCTTTCAAATAAATAAATATTTGAAAAACAATCATCATAGAAAACAAATAAACTTGACTACATCAATACTTAGAATTTTTACTCATTAAATTTTTACTTATCATAGGGGGCAGACATTTTACAAACAAGTTGAATCACAGTGAAGATTGTTCAAGTTTTTGGGTCCCTGCCACCCACATGGGAGACCCCGATTGAGTTCCTGGCTCCTGGCTTCAGCGTAACCCAGCCTCAGCTATTGCAATCATCTGGAGAGTGAGCCAGCAAATGAGGGATTTCTCTGTGTCCTTCTGTCTGCCTTTCAAATAAATAAAAATGAATAAAAATACACTGATACACATTTGGGCTGTTTCCAACTTGGAACTGTTATGATTATGGCTGCTAAGACCATACATTCACAAGTTTTTGTATAAAGATACCTTTTAAAACAAGCAAAATTAAATTATCTTTGCTAAAATTAGAACAAGGAAGCAGCAGAATGAGATTTGATAATGTTCTATTCACTAAGACTCATTTTATTTATATTTTTAAAACATTTATTTAAAAAGGTACAGTTACAGAGAGAGGAACAGAGAGAGATCATCCATCTGCTGGTTCACTCCCCAAATACCCACAATGGTAGAACTGAACCAGGCTGAAACCAGGAGCCAGGAACTCCATCCAGATCTTCCACATGGATGGCAGAGACCCAAGTACTTGGTCTATCATCTGCTGCCTTTCATGCGCATTAACAGGAAGCTGGATTGGAAGCATAGAGCAGCTGGAACATGAACCAAGCACTCTGATAGAGGACAAACAATAGCGTACCCCCACTGTGCAACAATGCAAGCCCCAAGGTTCATTTTTTTAATGAGATTTATTTATTTATTTAAAAGGCAGGGTTACAGAGAGAGGGAGACATGGAGAGAGATAGATCTTCCATCTGCTGGTTTACTCCCCAAATGGCCACAATGGCCAGGGCTGGGCCAGGCTAAAACTAAGAGCCAGGAGCTTCTTCCAGGTCTCCCACATGAGCGCAGGGGCTCAAGCATTTGTACCATCCTCTTCTGCTTTCCCAGGCACGTTAGCAGGAAGCTGGTTTGGAAGTAGAGTAACCAGGACTTGAACCAGCACTCATACAGGATGCTGATGTTGCAGGCGGTGGCTTAACCAGCTACACCACAGCGCGGCCCCCCAAGGATCATTTATAATATGCCTTATAACTCGTTATTACATATTGCAGTCATCATACACAGAAATACATACAGATACAGTGGTCTGGGCTCCTTTTGTAGAAACTTCATGGTTGGAAATGGGAGAGAAAATAGTCTTTAAAAACTGCAAGTAGGTTTTGATTTCTTTTTTTATAAAGAGCATACTTTTCTTTTTTACTTACTTATTTATATATTTATTTATTTTATTTGACAGGTAGAGTTATAGACAGTGAGAGAGAGAGAGACAGAGAGAAAGGTCTTCTTTCCGTTGGTTCACCCCCTAAATGGCTGCTACGGCCGGTGTGCTGCGATGATCCAAAGCCAGGAGCCAGGTGCTTCCTCCTGGTCTCCCATGCCAGTGCAGGGCCCAAGCACTTGGGCCATCCTCCACTGCCCTTCCAGGCCACAGCAGAGAGCTGGACTGGAAGAGGAGCAACCGGGTCAGAATCCAGGACCCCCAACCGGGACTAGAACCCGGGGTGCCGGCGCCGCAGGTGGAGGATTAACCAAGTGAGCCATGGCACCGGCCCCGAGGTTTTGATTTCTTAAAGGAGCTTGAGTTCTTCTCATGTCTCATAGACTGATCCACTCTTTCCAATTTCATTCCCACTTTCCACTCCCACTTTCCAAATATGTCCAGGTCTTTGAGCTTTTCTTTTTTGAGTTCTGATGGATAAATCAGCCTATCTGAAAGCTGGTTCCTTGGGTATCTGCATCATCTGTTCTTGCAGGTCCACAGACCTATACCCATCCACCAGCTTTCTGGCTTTAAATATTGAATTACCACTGTCTCCTTTCCCTTGTCTCTGTCTATATGGGTTTATGCCTTTTCCCCACTTTTCTTTCTAGTGGGATTTCAGGAGGTAATACATGTAATTGGAGGTTATTAGAAGGAAATAGGCATGCTAAACAGGAATTTTGTAATGTAAAACTGATTTGGGGTTTTCTATTACCTGCAGCTAAAAATCATCCTGGCTTGACAAGATATCAATAGTATTTTACCACGGAAATCTTCTGTAATATGATTTTTTAAAAGATTTACTTATTTATTTATTTATTTGAAAGGCAGAGTCACAGAATGAGAGGGAAACACAGAGAAATACAGAGGTCTTCCATCTGTTGGTTCACTCCCCAGATGACCTCAATGTCCAGGGCTGGGCCAAGCTGAAGCCAGGAGCCCAGAGCTTCATCTGGGTCTCCCATGTGGGTAACAGGGGCCCGAGCACTTGGGCCAACTTCCACTGCTTTTCCCAGGTGCATTATCAGAGAGCTGCATTGGAAGTAGAGCAGCCAGGACATGGACTGGCACCCACCTGGGATTCTGGCATCTCAGGCAGTGGCTTTACTAGCTATGCCACAACCCTGGCCCCAGATTTATGTTTATTTGAAAGGCAGAGTAAAAGGGGGGGGAGGAGAGAGAGAGAAAGAAATCTTCCATCTGATTCACTCTCCAAATGCCTACAACAGTTAGAGCTGAGCTGGGGCAGGACCAGGCCAATGCCAGGAGCCCAGAACTCCATCCAGGTCTTGAGCCATCTTCTGCGGCCTTCCCAGGCACATTAGGATGGAACTGGATCAGAAGTGGAACAGCTGTTGTGATGCCAATGTGGCAGGTGGCGGCTTAACCAGCTGCACCACAATACCAACCCCCCTATAATATGATTCTAATGCATACATCGTATTCCGTATTATGTAATGGATATATAATTATTTAATCACTCTTGAAATATTTATATGATTTCCAATTTCCATAATTATTTCTTAAATAGGATTGTATAAGTTTTGCTGCAATGCTTTCGTGTTATCAGATGTTTCAAGAAGGTTTATAACAACCTTCATGCTTACCTTCAGTGGAGAACATCAGTAGCTTCACACAACAGGAGTTAACTTACTTTATTTCTGCCTTAAGCATTTATTTTTTAATTATACTCATTTGAAATCATTCAGAAAAATAAAATCAAAGTCAGGTCAGGCATTTGGTTCAGCAGTTAAGATGCTGCATGAGACTCCTGCACCCATGTCAGGGCTCCCTAGGTTCAAGTCCCAGCTCCTCTGCTTTCAATCCAGCTTCCAGCTAAAATGCACCTGGGAGACAGCAGATGATTGCCCAAATACTTTGTCCCTGCCACCCATGTGGGAGACCCAAATTGAGTTCCTGGCTGCTGGCTTCAGCCTGGGCCAGCCCTGGCTGTTGTGAGCAGTT